TGTGTGTGTGTGTGTGTGTGTGTGTGTGTGTGTGTGATGGGGAAGGTGAGTTAGATCTGGATAGGGCAGCCGGGAAATTACTGTCATTAGTTTTCTCTCCACTGCAAATTCACTGTGGGACCATAGGCAAACCACCCTACCTCTCTGAGCCTTATTTCCACTCCTATAAAAGAGTGGCAACAATGTTATATGGAACAGGACTGCTTTAAGGACTAAATGAAACCTACCTTAGAAATTCACCTTAGCAAAGGGCCTGACATACAATAAATGTTCCCAGTAGATGTTAGTGAGTTGGTCATGGCTGTATACCTGCCATGGGACCTCAGGAAAGTTGCTCTGTCTCTCTGGGCTTGCTTTCCCTACGGCCTAATGAGCAAACTGGACCAGACAGGTCCCTTGCAGGACCAGACATGGTCCCTCGCACCACAGATTCTGAGAGTCTTGATTCCTTCTAGTGTCCTTCCCTGCGTCTATCCTCACCTGTCATGCTGGTCTGCCGCCGTTTTCGGCCCTGAGAGGTGCCAGGTGCACCCGGAGACGCCTCAGGCCGCTCAGGGGAGTGAGGCATGAGAGTGCAGGACAGGGACAGGTCCAGGTGGTCCTCCCGAGCTGTCCCCGGCAGCAGGGTAGACGAGGTGCTGGGCCGCTTGCCCCCTCCCAGGTCATCCCGGCCCCCCCGGGGCCCTGCAGGCAGGTAGAGCTTGGGCAGGCCCAGGCCCCACACACGCTCCCAGGCAAAGTCGCCCTCCAGCGGTGTCTCGGTGACAAAGTCGAAGTTCCATCGCTCCCGGGCCTCCTGCACACAGCCTGCCATTAACGCGTCACAGTCTCGGCGCAGCTGCTCGCTGTCCACTGGGCCGAAGAGGCGGCGGCAGGCCTTGCTGCCATGTGGGATCTGGTGGGCATCCCTGGATGGCTCCGACATGGCACCTGCAGCCGAGACACAAGTAAGGCCCTGGTCACTCGGGAAATTGGTCCCTACCTTACCAGGCTGTGCTTGGCTCAGATGAAGTCTTCCTCCTAGAACATGGGGTCTCTCTGGCTCCTTCCAGCTGGTTTGTCACCATCGCCTTCCCACAGGCCGTCCCCAGTCCTCAACCAACAGCCACCGGGTGGGGGCAGAGCTGGGTTAACCTGGTACCCCAAGGTCACTGGAGGAGGGAGCAGCTGAAGGACAAACTTGTGTTGACAAAGACAAGTTTATTGCAGTAGCAGGGATCAGAGTCCTGTTTACCGCCAGGCTTTATCAACTAAAATCAATTTGTTGTCCCCCCAAGGTGTCCCTCATGGGTGCGAATGCCCCAAGTACGTGTGAATTGCCAGAGTCCAGTAGTTTCCCAACCCCAGCCCTGGCCAAGAGGTCAGGTAGCAAATGAAAGGGCCGTGATCGTATAGCAGTTAGAACTCTGCGTTGTGAAAGGACAGGCTGACAGCTTCTCTGGCCTCCTGAACCCCTTTACCCAGATGCCCATGTGGGATAACCCTGTTCTGAAACAAAAGTACCCTGGCCCCTGGGATAAAAAACACCTAGGATCCAGTCCTAGCTTTGTTGCCTACTACCTAAATTTTAAAGTAACTTAAAGGGGTGCCCGGGTGGCTCGGTCGGTTAGGTGTCTGACTCTCGGTTTCGGTTCAGGTCATGATCTTGCGGTTTTGTGAGTTTGAGCCCCACATTGGGCTCTGTGCTGGCAGTGAGGAGCCTGCTTTGGATGCGCTCTCTCCCTCTCTCTGCCCCCCCCCCACTCATGCTGTCTCTGTCTCTCTCAAAAATAAACTTTAAGTAAATAAATAAACAAATAAATAGTCACTGAAAATTTTTTTTAATTTAAAAATGGTAAAAAGGGGCACCTCGGTAGCTCAGTCTGTTAAGCATCCGACTTTAGCTCAGGTCATGACCTTGCGATTTGTGAACTTGAGCCTCGAGTTGGGCTCTGTGCTGACAGCTCAGAGCCTGGAACCTGCTTCGGATTCTGTATCTCCCTCTCTCTCTCTGCCCCTCCCCCGCACATGTTGCGTGTCTCTCTCTCTCTCTCTCTCTCTCTCAAAAATAAATAAACATTAACAAAAATTTTTTAATTAAAAAAAATTTTTTTAATTGTAAAAATAAAATGTCACTTAATATCTCTGGGCCTCAGTTTTCTCATCTATAAAATGGAACTGTGGAAGCATCCTCAAGCAATAATAGGTCAGGGAGTCCCTTCAGGCAAGGCAGATGGAACAGAGTTGAGAGGCTGGCTCTTGTGGTTAAGAGTGTGGGCTCTGGAGCCAGACTGCCTGGGTTGGAATCCAGGCTCTGCTGGGTGACCCTAGACAAATGGCTTAACTTCTCTGGGCTCTATTTTTTCTCATCTGTAAAATGGAGACAGTATTAGTGAATGTCTCAGAGGATAGATGTGAGGATTAACTGAGTTAATGTAGGTAACATGCTGGGAAAAGCACCTGGTAGACAGAAGTGCTTGGAAAACAGAAGTGTTATTATTTTGCTCTCTGTGTTCAGTTCTGGCTGAGCCTTCTCCACATCACTCCCGGGGCCACCACCTCCTTCAGACAGCAGCTGACAGGTGCTGTGTGCTGAGGGCCTTTCCCAAGGATGTCATCAAGCTGGAGGCCTGGGGGTGAGGAGGGGCTGGGCAGGGCAGGACAATGATTGCTCCCAGGCTGAGCCACATCCTGCCAGGCACATCAGGTGATCTGGAGTCTAGACAGCCTGGAAGCCCCTGCCCCATGTTGGCTACATCCAAGGAACTCGTTTTGCAGGCAAGAAAAATTAGAGGTGGCCGGTCTACCCGGTTCCTCTCCTCCCACTTCAGAAGAGGGAAAACCAAGGTTGAGTTTGCTCATGACGAAGAGCTGGCACCCACCTGCCCTGCTCTGGCCTGACTCCAGGGCTGAGTGGCTGTGCAACCTTGGCAGGGACTGGGTTTTCCCGAGGACAAGTCCTGCTTTGCAGGCTCTGAGTGACCTCTTCGGGCAGGAAGACCTGGACCCCTGCCACACCTACCCCTCCCCACCCCACCTCTCAGAGCTGATGGGGGAGGAGAGGCACCAGGTGACCTCAGACCAAATTTAAAGAGCAAAAGTTTGAAGAGATATGAGGCTTGCCCCCAAACCAGAAAACTGAAAAGGCCAAGAGCCACTGCCCCATAGAGGGGTTACCCAGTGCAGTATGTTTGCTCTCTCTCTCTCTCTCTCTTTTTTTTTTAACAGAATAAGTAACGAAGGCTCAGAGAAATTAAGTAACTTGCCCAAGACCACACAACTCACAAGTGGCAGAGCCAGGATTTGAACCCAAGCCTGTTTGCCCTGCGTTCTGCGCTCTGGTGTTCATCCCTACTCTTCTAGTTTTGTATTATTAACTACAGTCCCCGCAGAATCATTTGGGGAACTTTTTTAAAAATATTTTTTTTAGGTTTGAGAAAGAGAAAGAGAGAGCACAAGTGAGGGAAGGGCAAAGAGAGAGGGAGACGCAGAATCCAGACACAGAATCCAAAGCAGGCTCCAGGCTTTGAGCTGTCAGCACAGACCGACGCGGGGCTGGAGCCCATTGACTGTGAGATCATGACCTGACCCGAAGTTGGGCGCTTAATTGAGCCAACCAGGCATCCCACTTGGGGAGCTTTTTACAAATACAGATCCAGGGGCACCTGGGTGGCTCAGCCAGCTGAGCACTGCACTCTTGATTTTTGGCTCAGGTCATGATCTCACAGTCATGAGATGGATCCCCACTGGGGCCTCTGCAATGGGTATGGACCCTGCTTAAGATTCTCTCCCTCTGGCCCTCCCCCACTCACTCTCTCTCTCTCTCAAGGAAAAAAAAAAAAGAATAAAAAAATACAGGGTTGTTTGGGTGGCTCGGTCAAAACAGCCACTGACTCTTGATTTTGGCTCAGGTCGTGATCCCAGGGTGGGGATAGAGCCCCTGCTTCAGGCTCTGCCCTTAGTGTGGAGCCTGCTTGGTTAGGATTCCCTCTTTATTCTGCCCCTCCCCTGCTTGCGCGCGCCCGCGCGCGCGCTCTCTCTCTCTCTCTCTCTAAAAAAACAAAACAACAACAAAAACAAAAAAAACCATATTGATAGGTCCGTCTCTTCCCAGATTAATTAACTCAAATTAAGGGGGATTTAAGCAGGTGTTTGGCAGTTCCCCAGATGGGATCCCATTCAAGAGGGGATACACAGGATGGCCGAAATGGACATTCTGGGTCTCAGTGCCTCATTGGCACAAGGAGGAGGCGCCTGCCTAGGATTTCATCAGGACGCTGGGTATTCCCTGGCTTCCAGGAGCTGGGACCAGAATCCTTTCTCCTAACACCCCAGCCCATATGGCTCTCATAGGCTCCGCATCAAAATCTGATCTCACTACCATTATCATAACTCCCAGCTCAGGGAAAGCTGAGAAACACAAACCCTTGTTTTACAAACAAGTAACTGAGAAGAGCTTCCTTTGTTGGCCTTCGTGCCTTAGATATCAACCAATTTTAATTCCGAAGTAAACAGTATGGACTCATTACACACTGTTGAACCAATGGGGTACTGTTTTTAAGGGGCGTTGGCAGAAGCGGCGAGCGATCTCTGCGCAGGCGAAGCGAGCGGGAAGGAAAGGCGGGTGAAACCGCATTCCGCGGGAAGGCGTGTTTGCTATTCGCGCCGGGGCCGGAAGGGGGCGCTGGTCGCCAGGAAATCAGGCGCAGGGTCGGGGGTGCGTGGGCAGAGCCTTGGACAGCAGCAGGGAGTTGTGATGAGTCAGTTTCCTGCAAAGCTCTCCCCACCCGCCAAAACTTCGCTTCCACTCGGGCTGCGCGTCACCCTCTGGAGGTGGCGGGGGGTGGGGACTAGGAGGAGAACCAGGGGCCGCAAACACGTCACGCTGAGCCAGCCAGGCTTCCGAAAGCCCCGCCACTGTTGGGAAACCGCGCGCTCCTCTGTGACACACACACACACACACACACACACACACACACACACAGCACACACTGGCGCGCAGAGGTTTGGGCCCTCCACCTTATCTCCACGCCCAAAGCACGGGATGAGTCAGATCCCTGGAAAATAAAAATAGACGAAAGCAAGGAAAACAAAACCGCTCGAAAGTCCTCCTCGAAACGCGACGTGGAGGGAGGGGAGGGGAGAGCTGCCTTGGCGCCCTCAAGTGCCAAACCCTAGTAAATCCAAGATTCTTGTCCGAACTAGAAGGGCACCAGTGTCCCCAGAGGGCCCCCGACAGGACGGATGCACTGTGGCCCGCGCAGGGCGGCGGCGTTCGAAGGACGACTCGTCGTCCCCCGGCTCCGCTCAGACCTGTCGCCCTTGGAGAGGGCAGTTTGGTGGGGGGCGCCGGGAGCCCCTGGATGCTGCTGACAGAGTCCCGGAGCAGCGTCGCGCCCTCCCCCCAAGTCCCACCCTCCGATTGTGACCCCTCCCCGTCCCCCCCTTCCCGGACGAGGGCTGCACGCCCCGCCGCCCCGCTGCGCAGGGCTGCGCTCCCTCCACGGAGTCCGGCACCCCGAGTCGCGGGCAAGCTGGGCCGGGGTTCGGCGGGCGCGATGGAACAGAGGTGTGTCCGACTCCTGCTCTTCTCAAACCGACTGGCTGGCGTGGGCCCACCCCGCGCGGGGCCACCGCTCCGCGTCCTCGAGGGCGCGCTGCGAGGCGGGGACCGCACAACCAGTCCTGGACCTCCCGGCGTCCCCGGCTTCCCTGAGAACACTTGGTGCCAGCCAAATAGGTCACTGTGCTGATGGAGGGGGGGTGGGGGGTCAGAGACCGCCGAGGGCCGGGAAGCTGACTTCTGGGGCGCCACTGTCCCCCACCAGCCCGGGCGGGGCTCTGACCTCACCCGGTTCGTTTCCCGGGGTCTCCTTGTCACCATGAGTCACCTCCTCGATTGCCCTGAAGGGACGTGTACCAACACGTTCCCAAGGACCAGGGACACAGCCCGCGCTGACCTCAGCGCCCAGCGGTGGCGGACACGGAGGCGTCGGGAACCTAGACCTCGGGGCGGGGAGACGGCACCTAGTGGATCCGGGAGCTGCCCCGGAGCGGATCGCTGATGAACCTGCTCGGCTCCGCGTTCCCCGCCCCTCCCGGAGCTTGGCGCTCAGGGGCTCCAGCCGCTCGCCGCTAGCGCTAACGGCGCCAGGGGTCCGCGGCGCCCGGGTGCCCGCCTCTCCTCCACCCTGCTTTGTTTCAAAGGGACGGGAGCGCGGCAGGGATCGATCCTTCCAACTCCTGCCCTCCCTCCGCCCGGAGTCTCCGCCAAACTCGGCCTCCGTCACACGGGCACTTACGGAGACACCCGTGGGAGCAAACCCCAGACCCGCGCACCGACCCACTCACGCCATTCACCTGTGAAGACAGCACACACACACACACCCGCGAGGACACACTCGCGGACGCGAACGGACGCACAGGCAGACACTTCTCGGCTCAGAGCTGCCGGTCCAGGGTCGGCTCCTGCCTGCCACGACTCCCTCACCTCTTCTGAGGGTCTCGGTGGCTCCGTGAATCCGCGCCCGGCTCCGGGTCTCCAGGTCACAGACTGGAGCAGTGGCTCACACCTCTGCTGGCACCGCCCGGCGCTGCTCTTATAAAGGCTGGCTTCGGAGGCGGGACCCGCTGCTCCGCCCGCTGAAGGCCTGGGACCGCCCTTCCAGGGCCGCGGGACGCTCGTAGCTCCCGGCCGCGCTCTAGAACCTCAGAACTCAGATGCCAATGTTATCAGCTGCTGGAGGGCGTTTCCCTCCCCCCCCCCCACCCCCCACGCCTGGGCGTGTGTGCTCTACACAGTTGGTGGGGAAACTAACTGAGCTACAAATCTGGGTGGTTTTCATTGGGACGTGAGTTGGCACTCCCCAGGAAGGGATGGCATTCTTAGCATAAGCCCTCTTTCTGGCCCCGAAAAGAGCATGAGGGGTGACCATTAATAAATAAAACTCCATAAATAATGAAAAAGATGTCCCTCACTTTGGAATTCCCAGAAAAGCCCACTATAGCATCACTATTCCTAGGCTCTCTCCCTAGACCACCTCTCCCAAAGCACCGCCTGAAACACCCAGACACCTCAACAAAACATCTGGGAGGCCAGAAAGGGATCCAGTCCCTTTTATTGCACAGATGAGGAAATCAAGGCCCATAGAACTAAAGGTAACTGAGGTTCAGAGAAGTTCAGTGATCTGACTCAGGTCACACAGCAAAGCAAATAAATAGCTGCGGTTGGAGCACGAGCCCATTTTCTTCTTAGTGTTTATTTATTTCTGAGAGAGAACACGCACAAGCAGGGGAAGGGCAGAGAGAAAGGGGGACAGAGGATATGAAGTGGGCTCTGCGCGGACAGCAGCAAGCCAGATGTGGGACTCAAACCTGAGATCATGACCTGAGATGAAGTCAGATGCTTAAGCAACCGAACTACCCAGGCATCCCTAGGGCATAGGCCTATTGCCTCCCACCCAGAGCCCTCTGCCCCTTGCCCTCTCTTACACAGTGGCTCTAGAAAGAGGGAAACACCCAGCACCCTTCATTTTCAGGTGACATTGATGAAAGACAATTCTGGAAATATCCACTAGTGCTTCTCCCAGATACAGAAGCAAGCGAGGTGCCCACTTCCTCCCACCCAGTTCCCACCCCCAGCCCCTCTTGCACTCCATTTTTGCCTCCTTTAACCTAAAACATTTGCAGTTTTAGCTTTTAAAAAATTGCGGAGAACAGGGGCGCCTGGGTGGCCCAGTCAGTTAAGGGCCCGACTTGGGCTCAGGTCACCATCTCACTGCTGGTGAGTTCAAGCCCTGCGTGGGGCTCTGTGCTGACAGCTCAGAGCCTGGCTGCTTTGGATTCTGTGTCTCCCTCTCTCTCTGACCCTCTCCCACTCACACTCTGTCTCTCCGTCAAGAATAAATAAACATTGGGGCGCCTGGCTGGCTCAGTCGGTTGGGCGACCGACTTCGGCTCAGGTCATGATCTCACAGTCCGTGAGTTCGAGCCCCGCATCGGGCTCTGTGCTGACAGCTCGGAGCCTGGAGCCTGTTTCGGATTCTGTGTCTCCCTCTCTCTCTGACCCTCCCCCCGTTCATGCTCTGTCTCTCTATGTCTCAAAAATAAATAAACGTCAAATAAAAAAAAAATTAAAAAAAAAAGAATAAATAAACATTAAAAAAATTTTTTTTTAATTGCAGAGAACAGAGGTACCTGGCTGGCTCAGTGATTTGGGAGTCTGAGTTCTAGTCCTATGTTGGGCATAGAGCTTACTTCAAAAAAATAAACTGAAATAGTAAAATAAAATAAATGTTTAAATCTTTAAAAAAAATTGCAGAGAACAGAATGTTAATTTGAACAGAAATCCCACTAAAAATTAGAACTCAGGCTTAGAATAGCTACAATTACTGACATCTAGGACTCTTCAGTGTCTAGAAATCTCTGTCCAGACATGCCCAGTTTTCTTCCTCTAATGCAGCTGACCTCAGGGAGGACAGGTCTTCTCTACTGCTGGCATAGGAGCCCAGTTAGGAGTGGGAGGGCACAGAACAGAGTCTCTTGCCTACCTGATCTTGGATTTGGGCCAGGACTGCCGATGGACCTCAGGAGGGCCTCAAAAAGGCCAAGACCCCAGGACCAGTCCCCTCCTCCCTTTCTCCATGCAGCCCCCACCCCCAACATACACATACCAAAGACTGCGTTGTCAAATGTCCAGAAGAGGACAGGCATATCCTCCTACTGCCTTGACTCCCCTTGGCTTTCAGGCATTTCAAATAGACTTGATATTGTCTGTCTGTTTACTTTGGGGGAAAAAAAAGTTAATGAAGGCCTGTATTGAATTATTTAAAGTTTTGTGATACTGAACTTCACGAGATGATTCTTTTTGTTGTTGTTGTTGGGAAGTGAGTTCTGTTTTTTTTTTTCTGTAACTTTTAGCTCACCACCACCACAACAGAATTCAACAAGTATTAAGCACCTACTAAGTGTCTAATACTGTTCAGTACTTAAAAAAAAAGAGTTTCCAACCATACACTTGAGTGTGTAGCCAGGTGTGCCCTTAAAGGACTTCTGCCCTGAAGAGGGCAAAAGAGCAGGTTGTTGGAAGTCACATGCAAGATCTGATGCAAAAAATGCACACACACACACACACACACACACACACACACACCCCAGATCCCAGGCCAATCCCAAGAGATCTGCTGCAAAGCACATATTGCTGTTCAGAGAAATTCAGACCAAGGTCTCCTTGAGGTCTCGGGGGGTCTCCTGTATCCTACCACCCCCCTCTCTTTGCCCCAAAGCAGGCAGCTCAAAGGATAAACAGCCGCGAGTCAGTGCTCAACATGTTGGGACATGTTCCTGACGGCCGGAAGGCCAGTCAGGGCTACAGCCTGCTGCCTGGGCATGCTCCCCAGGAAGGAGGCAGCTTAGGGATGGAGAGAGGATCAGCCTGGGAGACAAGAAATTTCAGATCGGCTCCCACCAGGAAGGAGGTGATGACAGAAAGGAAAGGTGGAAAGCCCAAGCCTGAAGAAGGAGGATATAAGTAGCTACAGGAGCTGCTCAGGAAGGGAGAGGAAGTACGAGGAACAATGTCACCATTTCTCAGAAAATGTCTGGGGAGTCCCAAACAGGGGCACTTGGCTTTCAGAGGAATTCACCTCCACACAGGCTCCCAAGAAGCGAGACGCCCCCCCTCCCAAAAAACAGACAGAACAGAAATATTATTGCACCACTGAGAAGAGCAGAAGTCCTTCTTCTTTGCTTCTTCTTCTTCTTCTTTTTTTTTTTTTAAGGAAGAATGAGTTTGGGAGCTTTATCCCTGACTTGCTGGGGGCTTTACCCAGCCAATACAAAAGATTAGGACTACTAAACAGCAAGACAGAGAAAAAAGTCTGTGACAGAATATGTGCCACACGAACACTTCCAGACTCCTTAAGCTGACAATCGCACCTTCCCAGAGTCTGAAATTTCACCGTTAGAAATTCATTTCTTTGGCATTAGCTCATTCCGTTCTTTATTAAATAAACTCACATAGGCAAAGTGCTTAGCATAGTGCCTAGCTCAGAAATCACTCTGTGAATATTAGTTAATATTGTTGCTATAGAAGCGCCTCTAGGAAGGGGGTTTTCATCCCTGATTAAGTAATCACTTACTTAATCACTTACTTAGTGGGTACCTTAGATAGGTTTCCTAGAAAACGCACCTGAAGTGGAGATACTCTTTTTTAAGTTCATTTATTTAAAGCGAGCTCAGGTGGGGGAGGGGCAGAGAGAGAGACAGAGAGACAGAGAGAATCTCAAGCAGGCTCTGCACTGTCAGCACAGAGCCCAAGACAGGGCTTGAACTCATGAACCGCGAGACCATAACCCAAGCCAGTCAGACACTTAACCCACTGAGCCACCCAGGTGCCCTGAAGTGAAGATACTCTTGAATGAGGTTTCTTGGGGAGTGCATTCACAATCAACACCTGTGGTGGCGGGGGGGGGGGGGGGGTTCAAAAGGAACAGGATCTAGCAGAGAGATGAGTTGGACTATAATGGAGCCTGGAGACTCCAGACAGACCCTAGCTTATCCCACAGGGAGCTCTGGAGCTGGGATGCCCTGCTGAGCTCCCTGAATTGAAGTAAGGGAGCTAGACCTTTATATTCCTGCTTTGACCAGTCATTTGAATATGTCTGCCCCTGGAGTAGGGAGGGGGTGCATGACCTTGGACAAGAGAGCTCCCTTATATGGGGCCGATTCCTGAAGAAAGACTCATCAGCAACCCATGCTCCCAACAGCCAGTTGGGAGAATGTGTGCCTGGGTCCTGCAGAGGGTTCTGGGGGGTACAGCACAGGTGAAAGGGCTGATCAGATCATTCAGGGACTAGAAGGTGGCGAGGAAACCCTGCGAACACAGGCAGCTGAGGAATGAAGGGCTCTCTGTACCTTGAACGTATTGTTCGCTGTTCCCAGAATGAGTTTTCCTGACCAACCTACCCCACCCACCTCCACTCCTGTTGAACTCCTACTGATCCTGCATGACCCAACCCTCATGACCCTTCTGAAGGAGGCCTTCACAGGGCTTCCTCTGGCTCCCAGAACTGGTGAGCAATCCATTTCCCTGTGCCTTGCTGGCTTGCTTGGTTTGTGGGCCTAGTGCATTGCCTGAGCTGGGAACCTGGAGGGGATGAGCCCATATTTTATTCATCTTTGTACTTTGAGGTCTAGCGGCCTCAGCCAGAGCTCATGGACTATTTATGAAAGGGCCATTTTTGGCCTGCCCTCTGAGATTAGGCTTCAGTGTCACTGCTTCTGAGTCCCTTCTTCTATTTATTCATTCATCTATTCACTCATCCATTCATTTATAGATATATAAAATTAACACTCATTGCTCAACCCAAGAACCAGAACATTACAAATCACTGACACCTTCCTGTGAGTTCCTCCCTTATCCTGCAGTAAACACGATCTTGAATTTTATGTTGAGCTTTCCTTTGTTTTC